CCTTATTATACAATATATTATTCAAAATAAGGTTTTCTTTTTTCTTTTCCATGATTAATTAGTAACCGAGGGAGGGTTTTATACGTATACGTATATATTATAATATATGTGTCACGTGTGAATGATGCCTTAATTAACCAGTCGTGTCCCACTCCGATCCAGTCGAGCGGGGGGCGCAAAACATGGACGGTTAGGTCTGCACCCCCGTCGTCGGTCAAAAAATAAATAATACTTCGTGTGCGTGTACGACATGCATTGTGCCCCGCTCGTGTATAATAATAGATATATAGTATATATAACAATATAGGTGTACCTATCTACGACGAGTGTTATTATAATTATTTGTACAACAAAATGGAACACCGCCGACCATTAAATTATCCCGCGGAGACTTGAACGCTCCCCCTGCGAGCAGCTCCGGCACCGCTGCGGCGTACGGGTTGTACCTACATAATATTATTATTATGCAACGAAAAATATAAATTCATATTAATATGGTGTACGTTGCATATCTTATATTCTTATCCTAAGGATTTTATCCTATTACATTTCCAAAGTTTACTTATTGATAAACGATATGTATGTAGGTGATATTTGATGTCGATAAATATTTATTGTTTTTATATTTTATAATAATATTATAAAATATGGAAATACGATAGCCCGTGTGGTCATGTCTATCAAGTCGACTGCACGGTTTTACAGTTTCCTATATCTATACTTCCCAATGTCGGTACTACTAATCTACTAGTATTACCTACTATACGCGTCAGAATAACGAGACGAAAATAATATAAAAACAAAGAATACCTAATACAAACAAAAATCGACTTTGAAAAACGCACGCCATGGCATAATGCACGCGTCCGACATCTCGTACGTATATCATAATAATAATAATATAGTAATCCGTCTCGTGTGTATATAAATTATACGAGAACGCAGCTCATTGGCTCGTTGGCCTCGCGCTACAAGAGTGTGTGATGCGCGCCACAAGTATATACTTATACCTACGTTATAGTTGTAGATCTATACACACGCGTTATAATAAACGAAGAACTGTTGCCATGCCTATAATAATATTAATAATAATAATAAAAATACTACATAATATACTATGTATGGTATAATATTTGTAGTGTATACCGCGCATGTATCTACACACGATTTACCTGCGGGTCATAACGGCAGGAAATTTTGTAATGCCGGACAAAAGAAATAACACATATAGGTACACACACTCGATCGAGACCCTCGTCGGTATTATTATTATTATTATTACGTTGTATATTATGCGCCCGAGCATTGCCTCCGCCGCCGCGGTTGTTTGATATCGATTGGGATAAAAACGTCGGATCGCTATAATTCCCCCGAGTGATGTGCGACCCCGTCTCGGTCGTGGCGTCGGGTCCCCACTCGAGTGACGTGAATGATGGTAAACGCACAACGCACACAGGAATCGCATTTTTGAATTATTATACCCAGCCAAAACATTAAACGTTGTAACAACCGTATATACGGGGTGAGCAGTTTGACTGGCTACACTAAATTTTCCAAATTAAAATGTTATTTTTATTTTGAAGTATTTATAACAGATACTAAATATTTTTATTATTTTATCAGTATTCTTTATTTTAGATTTTGTAGAGACAGCAATACAACCTATATTTTTAATTTTATAATCGGAATGATATTTTTCAAAAAAAAAATCTTGTAAATATTAATATCGAAATGTTTTTAATAAATTGTTTTATATTTATTACTAATCAGAATTAAAAGGTTAGCCGAACTGACTAAAATAAACAAGAGCTTACCAGCTAATTGTGTGGTTAGTACCTAGTATTACGCACTTCTAAACGTTGAATGTTTATTATTATATTATATAGTTTCAATTATTATCATTGCATCAAACAATTAAGAAATTTATATTTTACTTTCTACTCTTAAATTGAAAATATACCTGGGTCATTAAAAAAAATAATCTCCAGGTATCGTAAAAACTAGGAAAAATTGATTGCTATGAAAAATAAACAAAATGTTATAGTGATGTTATATTTATTTCAAAAGTTCATACTATATAAAACATTATTTTCAAAAGTACTAAAATTGACTAGAAAAATGAGTGTAGCCAGTTACATGGATCACCCTGTTTATGTGTAAATGTTTGTATACAATTTAATATATATATATATATATATACGCGAGATACTGCTGTAGAGTTTAAGCGAGGGGAGTACGTAGGATATACTTACATACATACGCGTCGGGACCTAAGGCGAATTTTGTTACAAACGCAAACACACTGCAGGTTTTTGTTTATAAAGTGGTCTCATATAAAATAATATGTGTTAGGTATACATCGATATCCATTGCGAGAAACTTGATCGCTTACATTGGAATTTTAGAAGATATTTAAAACCATTTGGCTCATTTTTTTTAGCAGCATCGAAAATCGGGGCAAGTTAATATATTATTTATATATGTAATAAATATACAATATTATACGACGGTCAATATGTCCATCGACGTTTGGGTTAAAAGCGAACGGCTTACACAAAGAAGAGGTCTAATTATAGGTTGGACTAAATACATGCAAATTAAAAATTTCTGAAGACAATTTGATTGATATAATATGTATACATTGTCTTATTAATTATTATAATGAGAGAAAAATTATACACCCATTTCGAATTTATTTATGCACACTCGTCCGACGTCCGTAATAATATAAAGAACACAAAATCTCCATAGACTAACCTATTCTTTGACTACACAATAACAATGCCATTATTATAATAGTAAAGGTTTTTTTACTAGGAGTTTTTTCGTGCCAATCATCTTAGTGACACTAATCATTATATAGTTGGCCATCATAAATATAGGTACATAGGAACCAAGTATACGAATTACAATAGACTTTTTTTTGTTATAATCAACGTTAACAATATATTTATAGCTAAAATATTAAAACCTGAGAATATAAATTTGAAAAAACCAAATATTATTATATTTTAAACCATGAATTAACTTCGGACCGGGGTCATGTCCCCTACGGTTCGGGTCCTTGCAACTTATTTCAAATGAGTGAGTTCTAAAAGTCAGAATCAAGGTTTTACTTCTACAAAATAAGAACAATAATATGTGAATTATTCAAGAACTACTTTTATAAGTATATCGTCGATATAATATATGATCCACGCGGATATTATGTATTGTTATAATGTATTGTTATAATTTATTTATTTATATATTATTATGATTGTTATAATATTTTTTAGAAACACACCTTTGCTAGAAGACACAATGAAGACATTCAACTTTTCAATCACTTTTTTACCATGTATGTTTTGGGACATGACGTATTATAGTATTTTAGTAAAAAAAAAAAACTGAATGGAATATTAAATGTATACCTACATGGCTACATAAATCTATAAAATAGCAATATAATTATAAACAAATATGTCATCAATTATCGTGAAAAAAATTCTAAGCATGGAGCTATACTTTGGATGGGTGGGTGCTCTGGGTGACTATATAGTATATTGACTTATTAAACTATCCTAAGTGAACCTATATTGTAACAAGATTAGTCATGACAATTGACAGTATATACAGACTGTTGTCTCAAAATAATCCCCCCGCCATGTACCACTATACAAAATATAGTAACATAGCCCAATGCATTACATACAATGCGCGTATAAGAATATATATGTATTTGATTAATCCCTATTTTGAGAGATTGTAGTGTCATACTACTACGGCAGGTATTAAACTCAATATAACGAAGATATTATTACATGATTAATGGTTCTTCGGTAACTGGTAACTGGTAAGCATATAATAAACCCCAGTGAAGACTATTATAATAACCGAGATGTTGTCGATGTAGCTGCTGCAGAAGAAGGTAAATTTGTCCGAAATCATAATCCGACTACCTGAGCCCAGACGACGGCTGCCGGCTGCAGCAGAAGACTGCAAGTAATAATTTTTAGTTATAGCCTTACAGGTAGGTATTGCATGCGCGACGACGCACATAAGAATAATACGCATGGCGCTATTAAATACATATTAATATATTATTATGATATTATACACTCGCAATGTTATGTAACGGAAAAAAAATGTCGTTTATTATATTGGGTAGGATTGTTTTCACCTGGTACAGTTACACGCGCATAACTTCATTAAATATCACGCAACTATACGCATAATATTATAATATGTTCATTGTACCTTCACGTTGGGGTTCGGGGAGCGTGCATAATAATGGACATATCAAAAATTGTGACTACGCCCCAATTAGTGTCGCATTTAACCTACTAAATATTGGCACTGGTCCAGCTGTTTAATTTAAATCGGCTGTCAAAAAATTATTTCTAATTAAAACATTGAACGATGTTACGCGCAGGGCGAACGTTTGAAATTGCTCCCGACGTTTCTCCCGCATGTATTTGTTCAGCCTTCGTCAAGATCCAAGGACGGTTACCCACTAATAATGTCATTGGAAACCGCCAATGGACATCTCATTTAATATTCATCACGAATAACCATTATGGACATAGCTCGGATTTATATTTGTCTTAACGTCTATTCCTAGAATTTAAAACCGAAGACGTACTGAGTACGCAAACATGCCTTAATTGCGACATCCTCTCCGGAGCTCAGTTTAATATTTTGTTGTACATTTCTTAGTTCCTACTGCAATAAACGTTTTATAGCTCAACAACAAAACTTTTCCAATGATAATATTATCGATTACTAATGCATTTATGGCTAGCGCTACTTATAATAATTATTTCTCGTATAAAATTTGGCCTCTAGCTGTAGCTATAATAATAATATATACCTATCCTAATAATAAAACAAACATTTTTAAGACAGTTAATACTCATATCAAATCCTATTAATCCCATGAGGTGTACTCTGCGAGTCCTACGTATCCCTAATATATTTTAACGTAATCGAAATATTTAAATAATATATAGTTGACTTACCTCGGTTACATAATTTTCATCGGTTAAAACATTTGTTGGCAGAAGCATCAGACGATTTCGATCCCAGAGCCTGAAAAACAAAAAAAAAGAAACCGTGAGTATGAGAAAAACAAAAAAACAATAGCGTCCGATATGTTGTGATGCACGTTGTAGGTTATAATGTCTGTATACAGAGTATAACTCATATATACCTAAACCTAGTAATTTACAGAAAACGTCATCCTGCCGAGTGGATAATAATATGTATAACGACACCGTGGTAGAAGAGATGACCTATCCCGAGGAGTGCAGCGTTGTTGGTTAACGCAATTTGGTGACATACCGAAGTGTAATTACTAATAAGTATAATTAAGTATGGTAGTATCAAATCAGTACCTATATGTGTCGGTAGTGTATATAGAAAATTATAAAGACATATTTTTTAAGTTGGGATTATTGATTAGTAATAATTCAACTTCAAACAAGTTACATAATTCAATAAATATGCTTAGAATGTCGAAACACCGTTATTGTTTTATATAATGTATATAAGTTATATAGGAGCATCATCGGAACAGAAACTCTGGAACCAGAAAAGTAGGCCAAGGGGGAGATATAATATATAAAATATTTTTCTCGGCCCCCCAGTAAATACGGCACCGAGTTGAGTGCGTGTTTTTTCGTGTTTACATAATATTATTATTATGAGTATCTATGAAGTATCGAACCCTTTCGCCGGGCTCGTGCGAGAATTAAAAAACGCGCGCACCCATTTATAATATACTTACAAAGAAAATAAATTTACGCGGCAATCAAGATATCAACCGGTCCGAAGGTTGTTGTAACACAACAATAATAACGAGAACACACGCACGTATATTATTATTATTATTATTATATGTGTGTGTACTGTGTAATGAATTGGAACCCCGCGGACTTCTAAAATGAGATATTTTTCTCTTTGCATCGTACCATCGGTTTCACTCGTGACAACCGCGAGCGCGCGCGCTTATTTTATTTACGTCGCACGCGTGCCACTGTGTTAATCCGTCTCCAGCTAATCGCCGCGTTTTCCTCGATTTTGCCGCCGTCGCCGACGTCTAAAAATCTCGTCGTGAAACAATATTATATTTATATATGTTGGCGTAAATACTTAACCACCCATAACCATTACACTAATTGATTGCGACGTATACATTGTTGTAACATAATAATATTATATAACCCGAGTAAGTAGGTATAGGAATAGTATATTATATACGTGTATAATGTTTATATGTATATAAATCTACTACTGCTTCGTCCTCTGCCGAGTTTTTTCCCAGATTATTTTTAAAAGGTCATAGGAATTTTTAGTTTTGACTTACCACTGCAGTACAAACTAAATCCAATTTACTACCCGAAGGTATAAACCACCCTCAATATTAAAGATTAAAACATTTTTTCTAGGATTAAAGGTTGTCTTCAAACACACAATAAAAATACATCATTGATTTTTATAACCGAATGTGCTTTAAGCTTTCCAATTCCAATTCCAATATTATCCTACTACATTTTATAGTCCTGCCCTAGAATATCACAATAATGAATATTTGTTCTTAAAATTGACCTCAATATCCTACTTTGGGCCATGGGGAAATAGGGAATTGTTCTGGGCGTAATATAATATATAGTGTTCCGCGTAATAAAATATTCTGCAAAGCGGAAGCCGTGCACGCATGTTCTTCTTGGAAAAATAAAGCTTTTCGACTAATGCTTCTATTTTTTTTTATAGGAGTACCTACTTATACAATATATTATAATGGCGTAATCAAAATAATCGTCTCGCAAACCGTGTTGCTTACTAACCGTAAACACATTCATGATGTTCTGCGAAAACCGCGAAGAAGTCTCGTAGATTTTTGGCTGACGCAGAGCAATTACCACAGCTGCAAGGCACGTCGACAACAGTACGCACGCGACCGCGAGACGTCGGGTAACGAATCGTATACACGAGGTCTAATGCTCACTCCCCTCTTTCTCTATCACGATTTATACACAAGAAAATACTGGGAAATCCAAGCAAATGCACATAAATCACGCAGCTAGATCCGTTTCTCCGGCGTCTCACTATATGTCTATATATATGCATGTATGCATGTATTATGTACAGCGGGCAGGAAACGGAAATAAAAAGAAAACGGTCGCGTGCGACGTCTACTCGACACGAACAATATGCGTAGGTAACGGATAAAACACATCTCGTCTCTATATGCAGATATATATTATGTTTGCATATATAATATTATGTAGTGTATTATAATTTATAATATATAGTGCGACACCGTGCACAGCTGACGTCTAACTCCCTCAGATAGGGTGGACCAGAGGACATGGTTTGGGAAGGGGTGAAAGTGCCAAGGGCATGAGTGACATATTATCACCTCCCTGGACAATTATTATATTATTATAACAATTTCGGTTGTCGATTATTTTTATATAAGTCATTATTTCATTATAATATGAACTAATTTTTATTAGCAATGATTTCAAAAATTAAAAACAGCAACTCTTCCGTTTTTCTATTTGACTGGAAATGTCAAATCTAAAATTATAAAATGTTAATTACGGACGTGGCTAAATAAGGTGTATCGTATGAAATAAGATGTGAGACAATTTGCCAGTCTGTACCTATCAGGGTTGGCACGAAAAAGCCCAGCCCGAAAAAACTCTGGCTGCTTTTTTGGGTTAAGCACACTCATTATTTTGGAGAAAAAACCATAAAACCCGGCCTGCTTTTCTGGATAAAATAGAAATTCCCTCTTATTTTTTTTTAATTTGTATTAATTTTCAGAAAAATGTCCTTACTTATAAGTATTATTTTTTTTCCAATTAAGTATTAAACTACGGGGTGCCACCATTTGGGTGGCTTCCCCCTACCGTCAATCAAACAGTGCAGCTAGTACATGGAAAATAAATCAGATTTTTCGGATGGGTTTTTTCTGAAAAAAAAACCGATAAAACCACCCATTATTTATTCGTAAAATACATTTTTATAATAGTATTTTAAATACTTTTTTATTCGAATACTAGTATTAGTATCTTAATACATTTTCAAAAGTATTTTTTACAAGACTGGATTTATTACTTTAATCGAGTTGGGTTTTTTTCTATAAAGCCCGGGTTTTTGCCAACCCTGGTACCTATACATGAAAGAATGAAGTGCGTCAATGGAAACTGGAAGATTTTCTGCTGATCTTCAAGCCCGCTCGTCATTATATTTAGGCATTCGTACCTACACTGTAATAGACTTCTTACACTCACGTATAGTTGTTATACCTTATACGTACTTTTTAAATTCGATTCTACTACATTGTGTATACAAATACGCTAAATCATTAAATCAAATATTAATATTTTGATTGAGTTCTAAGAACATATTAAATCATTGTTTAAAGTCACGATGACGTCAATGTGCATCCTTACCTCTACCAAAATATTAAATTATTCCGTTTTTGTTACAATTGACTACTAAATAGTAAATAATAAATATTAAATCGGTATAGCATTATTATATATTATTAACTGTCGTGTATTTGTTAAAACAATACACAATGTCAATATGTCATTGAGAACAACAAGAATTTTCTACACAAATTTCTGATACTTATTCTCTATCGTCTCTATTCTATACACAAAGGTAATTGTATTAAAGAGGTAGATATAATAATATTATTAAGTTATTAAAAGTGTATTTCGACGACAACGTCCTTAATCCTTATTATAATGTAACACAATGTGCAGTAGCTAAACTAGAAATATAATACTTATATTACGACACTCCTGATACCTATTTATAAGATACATAATAACGTCTGTATTCTGTATATACATACTATGTAGTGACGACAATTTCCCACTCGTTTGTATATTCCCGTGGCGGTCGTAAAGGGTGTTTCAAATTTCGTGTGACAAAAACTGTGAGGATTATTATACACGTCAATTCCTTATAATGCGTAATGTCCACCAATATCGTCGCACAGACTGTATATTAACCCTACTGTACTTCGCAGTACATTGACGCACGCAATCTTACCATATCTACAGGGGCGCATGTAAACTCCGCCACAAGTACCTTTTTTTACTGTAAACTCCGCCAGAAAAAAAAAAAACAGGTAAAATTGGGTTCATGTAAACTCCGCCACTGAAAAATATCAGGTAAAATTTAGTTTATGTAAACTCCGCCAGTGAAGAAAATCAAATAGTAGTATAAAATTAATATGATATATTATTAAAAAAAAATTATAATATAATATCATATCATATCATATCAATATTTAAATCATAGTATAAAAAATCATAATAAATAATCCAAAATCATATTTTTCATAATAATAATTAATAATTGTCAACATTAAATGTACACAAATCATAGTCAAAAACAATAAATAAATAATCGTCCAATTAATATAATAAAATATAATAAATAATTAATAAATAATCGTTATAAATATTGTCATGTATGAAAACTATAATGATGTGATACAATTTGCAAATATTCTAAGTCTTGTATTTCTTTATTAGTATACCTATTCATAGCATCCTGTAATACTGTCATTTTTTTTTTTTTTATTTCGAATTTTTTAGCTGATTTACTTGAGATATACCATTTAGTTTAATATAAGTTTGGGTTTGAAATTCGATAAGAACTTTACTAAAAATGTGAACATTCGGATGACTTTTATAAAATGAATTTCTCAGATGACTATGAAAGGATTCACAGGCATTTGTTGTTCGATTTAAAAAACTTTCATATCTGATCGTTTTTGGTGCCATCTGAATAAGCGAAGAAATAACTTCAGATCGCGAAGTTGGAACTGAAGTTAACTGAAGTTAACTGACCAGGTAAAAAAAAAAACTGGCGGAGTTTACATATACCCATTACAGGTAAGAAAAAAAAACTGGCGGAGTTTACCATAGACCTATTATTACCTTTTTATCTTGACCGATATTCTGGCGGAGTTTACAATCGCCCATCTACAGACATTTTTTTATCGAAATCTTTAATATTTCCCGTCATAAATTGCACGCTGTTAAACAGATTCGCTTACA